TGGAGAGTTGCTGGCTCTGTACAGTAGAACAGATAAGGGAAAGTGTTTGTTGTTTGTAACTCACCGCGGCCTTGAAGATAGCAAAAATTATGTACAACTCTGATTTCCAGGCGCAAGAAGGAGGTTTGTGAACTAACCTTGCCTCCCCCATCAGTTCCCATCCTGATTACAGCAAAGAAGTAATGAAGTAATGTTATAGCTGCTTTTCTAGCTAATTTCACTATATGATCACGTGAGTTGTAAGAGACTGTTAAGTAGTATATAAGCCTCCTGATTTTGCTCTTGGGGGGGGACCCCTTCCAAGTGCTTGGGAAATCCATGTCACTTTGGAATCCCCCCTACAGCTGTAGTTTCTTTTTAAAACTGCCTCTGGAAGTGCTGCCCAGGCTGCCAAAAAGGACCGAGCAAAAAGAGCAGGATGAGCTGGGCTAAAGCCAGCACCTGAACTCCTGTATCCGCGGCTGCATCCACGCCACATGTCAGAAGAGGAGACACTGATGGTGCAATGCTTGTGCCTGCAGCTCCGGGAGGTGTTTGAGGACGTGGCTGTGTATTTCACACGGGAGGAGTGGGAGCTGCTGGACGATGAAGACAAGGTGCTTTACCAGGAGCAGATGCTGAAGAATCACCAAGTCCTCGTTTCCCTGGGTAAAGCTTTGGGTCTTGCTTTCCCCCTGTGACCACTCCTCATCTCCTGGGTGACAAGGACTGTTATCTCTTGAAGGCTTCTCCCTGCAGTGCCTTCTCTTCTTAAATGCCCATCCTTCTTTGTCCATCAAGGCCCTAGTAGAGACTTTGATTTCACTGGATCCAGTCCCCAAATCCCAGTTGGATTCTGCATCCAGTACCCAGTCACAAATGCTCTTTAACCACTGCCCACACAGGATATTGAGGTCCCACACCTGACTTAAAATCTGCAGCATCCAGCAAGGACAGGTGGAGCTCTGGACCTATGATGATGAGGACCGTGGGGAAATCTCAAGATGGGAGGACCTGCTGCCAGGTGAGTTATGGGTGTTCTTCTCTCGACCTGACTCTGCTCTCAGTAAAGCTTCATGGCCTGAGTCCCAGTGAAACCTGGAAACTGCAGGCCTGCCCTGTGCTGTCCTTCCAGGGTGCTGACCTCAGACACAGTATATTATGCTGTAATGCAGGGGCGGGCAATTATTTCAGCTGAATGTTGCTTAACAAATTTTGGTGAGCTGTCAAGGGTTGCCAGGGTGCACCCGTCCCTAGGTTCCCATCTTGGGACTGGATATCCCGTCCTAGCCTCCAAACTTTTGATACCTTCCCCTTGCCCCCAGAAGTACTCCTTTTGGCAAGGGGATTTACCATCTTGGAACCAGGGAAAAAAAGACATTATATACTGAAAATCAAACATCTGTAGTAATATATTTTAATTTTATTTAAAAAAAAAATATTTTTGTCCTGATTTGTGTGCATTTGTGCTGTATGTATAGAAATGATTGCATAATAGCCTAAAATGCAGTCTTACTCTTGTATATTGTGGTGGGATGTGGAGGAGGATTAGAGGTGCACCGATACATCGGTCCAATATCAGAACAGCACTGATATACGGGAAATTGATAATATCAGAAATGGAATGTGGATAATAAGCTGGCTGATCAGTGTCCGTGTGTGCGTGCAGCCACAGTGAGGAGCACAGCACGGCAGCTTGGAAAGTGGTGTGCAGGTGATAAGTCTGTTGTGGTGGAAGGGCAGGGGGGGGGGAAGGGGTGTGGGAGGGCAGATCAATTTGGGTATGTGGGGTGTGCATGGCAGCCCCTGTCTCCACCCCTGCCCTGCAACAGCCCAGAGCCTGTATACCTGTGGCTCGTTCCCTGCCACAGCCCACAGCGCACAGCCCCATCATGGCCCGCGCCTGCTCCTCCCGGACTTGGGGTGTTTAACCACCCGTGGATGTGCAGCATGGCTAGGACAGATTCTTCTCGTTGCCACCACTGCTGCCCCCAGCTCCACGGTAACAGCGGGGACCACCACTTGCAGCCCCAACCCCGTGCACCATGTGCCAGCTCCGGGCTCACCCCTTGAGGCTGAGCAGCAGCAGTAAGGGAGGGTGTGGTTACGTGTGGGATTTGTGGAGAATGGTGTGGTTATGGGGTTTGTGGGGGAAGTTTGAGGATATGTCAGGTGTGCATGGAAGCCCCTTCATGAACCCAACTGAGCCGGTCAGCCCCTGCCCTGCAACATCCCAGATCCCGCATGCCCCACTGCACCTCCCCCACCATTGCCAACAGCGTACAACCCCAGCGTGGCCAGCGCCTGCTCCTCACAGCTTTAGCACATTCAACTGCCCCTGGGCATGCATCATGGCTAGGGCAGCTCCTTCTGGCTGCCACCACCACTGCCCCCAGCCCCACGGTAGCAGGAGGGACCAGCACCTGCAGCCCTGACCCCGCGCACCATGTGCCAGCTCTGGACTCACCCCTCCAGGCTGAGCAGTAGCAGCCAGGCAGAAACTGTTGCTTGTTGCAGCGGGGGGTGAGGGTGGGGGAAGTGTCTCCTCCCCCTTGCCACTACCGGGCAATTTTTTGTGTGGCTGCCCGCACTGTTCCAGGCTCCCCTATGATTCAGTCACCACCACCTCTGGGCTTCCCTGCAGCTGCTCTGCACGGTGACCCCTGCCACACAGGACGCACCAGTTGCTGCCCAGTGGTGGTGAGGGGCTGGAGCCAATTTTACCCTGCAAAGAGCACCAGTTTCTTCCTGGCACAGCTGCTGCTGCTCAGCCTGGAGGGGCGGGCTCAGAGCCATTGCTGGGCCCTCGCTCAGCAGCAGCAGCACGGGAGAGAAACTGCTGCTCAGGGTGGAGTACAAGCGACCCCTCCCACTGCCAGCACTTCCTGGGGCATCCTCCCAGAGCCCATGTAGGGCAGCCTGTGTCTGCTTTGTGCTGCCACCTCTGCCCCGCTGGGCAACTTGGAGGTGGCAGTGACACGGTGGAGACTTAGGGCAGCCATTTTGGGATCTGAGGCTGCCCATATAAACATGGCAGTTTTGCTGTGAGAGGCCAGGGCAACAACATTGCCTGTCTGGAGGGCTGCTGATATCATCTGGAGGTAAGGGAGGAGCTGTAGGGGATGGTTTGGAGGCTCCTGGTCCTGGGAACGACCTAAAACTACATGCTCCCTGGAGTGGGTGGCCTGATGGGGCTCTCAGTGGCGCAGGAGCCCCCAGGAAATGCCAGGCCAGTGACCTCCCCAGTGAAAGGCGGGTCGGGGCACCTTAACCCCTAGCTCCCATGACCAGGTAGGTGACCCCTTTGTTTGGAGGGCTCAGAGAGTGGGCCCTCAGAGAATGAGGAAAGGGCCATAGACTCAGGCCTGTCTGAGTTTCCCCTGACTGGTCCATGCTGGGGTCAGGACCGGAAGGGTCGAAGGGCCAGGGGCCCACCGCAAGGGATGCCCAAGAGCTGAGGGCCTGGGGTCCCGACCGGCCTAGAGGTGGGCCAGGACTAGATGAGCTGAAGGTCTCAGTGAGGGGACCACACTCAAAGGGGAACCAGCTTGGGGAGCTATGCTGCCTGGTATGATGGCAGAAGAGGCTGCCTGAAAGGGGGGAATCCAGATGGGGTTCAATTGGAGGATTCTGGGGCTCGGTGTGGGGGCTGGTGATTAAAGGAACATTGTGATGCCATCTGTGAGACTTGGGCTGTGGTGTAGGCGAGGAAAGTAGCCCCAGATAGCACCCCCTGGCATTGGGGCAGGAAATGGGCAGCCTCCCGCTTATTAACATCAACTAATTAATTATAACAACAAGGCGTGGTGGGCAAGAATGCGGGTGGTTGGCCCAGGAAGAGGTGGGCGGGACACTCTGAGAATAGTCCCAAGCAGGCCCCCTGTTACAGTCATGAATCCTGAGACTCAGCACAGAGTCCTGGTTTTGGTTCACGCTGAGGCCTTAGACCCCTTGAAGAGTCCTGTGTCATGGATGCCATCTGGGATTGGTCAGCAGACAAGAGCTGCCTGGGTGCATCCCCTGCACAAGAGCTTTCCCTGGAAGCAAGCAGGAAGCACAGCCCTCTTTGTCTCAGAAAAGAGTGCCACAGCTCTACGTCCTCCCCTCATCCTCAGCCCACTAGAGCATGAAGCTATTCAGACACTGCCCTAATGCACATGTCCCACATGTACTTGTCTCAACAGGGCCTGAGGTGATGGTATGGACAGCTGGGGCCAAAACTCTGAGAGTCTGGGTCTGATCTGCACTGAGTTGGGAATAGTAGCCCAGCACAGGGACTTGCCCCACCCTCACCCCCAGCACTTCAGGTTTTGGCAGGAAGACCTTGTTTTCTTGAGGGAACACAATGCCATGGTCCAGGCCTGCTCTGAGGCCCATCCCAACAGAAGGAGTAGCAGTGTTTGCCCTTTGCCAGCAGGGTAGGGACTAATCTGGAGTTTCTGTTCCCCACGCAGGAGGTGCCTGGCCACTGAGCAGAGCTGAGGAGCAGCCTCCTGTGGAAGGGTCTGCAGACCTGGAGCCAGCGCAGACTTCCCCAGGGAGTTTGGGTGAGATGGACTCCCTGAGACCTGAGAAGGAGCCATGCCACGAGAGTCGGGGGAGGCCTCAAACACAGAAGGAGAGTCTAGCAATGAACCAGGTACCATCTCCACTTGGGTGTGAGGGTGGAGAAGGGGCAGAACCTAGAAAGAGCCCTGGGTACAGGGAAGAATTTGCAGAGCTGTGAGACCTTAAGAGCCACTGGAAAGATGCACTGCATCCAAGCAAAGGCAGTGGGAAGGGCCTCAGAGGTAAGCCAGAGCTCACTGCCAAGCACAGGGGCAGAGCTCACCCCTACCTGAAGGTCAGGAAAACCTTTACGTGCCCATCACTCCTGTCTGTGCACAAGATAAGGTAGACTGGGGAGAAGTCCCATGTATGCACCAAATGTGGGAAGAGCTTCACCTGCCTCTGGTCTGGTTGCTCACTGCCAGATCCATTCTGGAGAGCTACCCCACTGCTTCACCAAATGGGCGAAGAGCTTTAATACACAGACCTGGTCAAGCACCTATACGTGCAGTGGGGGAAGCATCAGGCACAGCTGTGTCAAGAATGGCAAGAAATTCACCCTTTTTTTCCCCACACACCCCAAAGAACTTCATCTGCTTGCAAGACCTGTCCCAGCACGAGTGTGCGCAGCACCACTTCACCCACTGGGAAGAGATGCAGGCAGCTCTCCAACCTGGCGAGGCACTGGTGCATGCACACGAGAGAAGCCTACCAGTGCTCAGAGTGTGGGAAGAGCTTCACTCCGTACTTTAGTCTGTCTCAGCACCAGTGTATCCACACAGGGGAGAAACCACATCACGGCCTGGTGTGTCCAAAGAGCTTCACTCAGCACTCTGACCTAATCAAAGACCACCTCATCCATATGGGGGAGAAACCATACTGGTGCTCCGAGTGTGGGAAGAGCTTCACCCAATCCTCCTGTCTGAGGGGGGATATTATAGCAGCCTTCAACTACCTGCAGGAGGGTTCAAGAGAGGATGGAGCTGGACTGTTCTCAGTGGTGGCAGATGCCAGAACAAGGAGCAATGGTCGCAAGTTGTAGCAAGAGAAGTTTAGGTTAAATATTAGCAGTATTTTCTCCCTAGGAGGGTAGTAAAACCCTGGAAAAGGCTGTGACAGGCCAGTAGAGGGTGCTCCTGTATCGAGTCACCCACCTCACTGAGCCCGACCACCTTCCAGGCTCTGAGTGCCTCCCTGGGAGTGCCTCATGTCCTTCTGACCCCTTTCCTGGAGCATGCCTGCAAGCCTGGGGGTAATGCCGCCACCACCCAGAGTCTGGACTGTTCTTGGACCTGTACCCTATGGGAAACACAGGCCTAGTAGTCCTTGAGGGTACTTGACCCACTACAAGAACTTGGGGTGCTTCCTGCAGTCTGAAGTGCAAAAAGTGGTCTCCCTTAGTCAGCCGAACCCAGGCAACCCCAAGGCATAACAGTCCGATGGCTGGGGAATTGGCTCCGATGCCAGACCCAGAGAGTGGTAGTCAATGGAAGTGAATCATTATGGTGCTCTGTGACCAGTGGAGGTCCCCCATGGCTCCGTCCTTGGACCTGTTCTCTTTAACATATTTATCAATAATGTGGATAACTGGTATCAGAAGTGGACTTGGCAACTTTGCCAAAGACGCTAAACTTTGGGGTAGAGCGTCCACACCTGAGGATACGCTGATGATTCAGGCTGACTTGGATAGCCTTAAAGAGTGGGCAGATACAAATCTGATGACATTCAGTACCGACAAATGCAGGGTGCTCCAACTTGGGCGGTGGGGAAAAATCCTGCAGCACGCTTATAGGGTTGGCAGTGCAACGCTCACTAGCACCATGACCAAAAGAGACTTGGGGGTCATGTTTGACCACGAGATGAACATGAGCCACCAATGCTATGTTGCAGCTGGTAAAGCAAGCCAATCTCTGGATTGCATCCATAGATGCTTCCCAAGTAAATTCCAAAATGTCATCCTCCCACCATACTTAGCCTTGGTGAGGCCACAGCTGGAGTAGTGCATCCAGTTCTGGGCTCTACAATACAAGAAGGATGTGGAGAAGCTTGAGAGAGTCCAGAGGAGACTTTAAACTAGGCTTGTCGGGGGGAGGGGA